GTAGTAGTACTTGACAAACTAATACAAATAAGGTCGCAACTCGTTTGTTTTCAAGCTATGAGCTGTCAAAGTTGAGCCAAAAATTTATATTTTGTTTTGTATTTCGGCTGTAAGTAAACCGTAGAGTTTGAAACTTTGTACGTATTTAGTACTGGTTAAGACCTTCTTTTCAAGCATACTTTAAACTTCCCTAGCGCCCTCTAAGAGTGTGAAGTTCACCACCCCCTTGATTTTTTTATAAGAACTTTTTAACGCTATGGAATATTAACATAAAAAAATATGGGTTCTAAACGTTGGCTTTGAAAACTTGTTGGTTTCATTTACGGTGAATCCTCATAATTGTTGATGATTATTAATAATTTTTGACTATTATTAAACAAGAGTATCCATTTTTTAATATTGTTTAAAATAACGTAATTTGTTCAGACAAACATTCATCTTATTTATGGTTTTTCTTATGAAAATCACAATTATTTGGTGTTATTTAGTTAGTACTAGATCCTAGTAAGTGCACAACTTCCATAGTCAGCTATAAAGAAAAATTTTCTTTTAATAATAGCAGGGCTTTACAGTACAATGTAGCATATTTTATTTTTTTACGCTAAAATTATTATCTTTAAGGAAAAAACTAAAGAGACAAAAAACTAGCAATAATGAATAAGCTTTACAACCCATATTTTTTTAAGTTAATATTCGATGGCGTTAAAAAGTTGTTATAAAAAAATCCAAGGGGTCATGAATTCCATCCCCTTAGAGGGCGCTAGGGAAGTTTAAGGTACGGCTAAAAACAAGGTATTAACCTGTAGTACATAGATACAAAATTTCAAATTCTACGGTTTACTTATTCCCGAAATAAAAGATAAAATATAAATTTTTAGCTCAACTTTGACAGCTCATGGCTCGAAAACAAAAGAGTTGTGACCCTATCTTTGTATAAAAGACTTGTGTTATTTTGGCAAGTACTACGTTCTAGTAAAGTTTCCCTATTAAAAGTTGAACCATCCTGTATACATATACAGGGTGAGTTATTAGTATCCCGGCGGTCGATAGTTACTAAACCGTTTGAAAAACAAAAAAATATTTTATACAAAAGTTGTTTGACTCACCACTTTCTATTGCGTAAAATTATTTTCACTTATACAGAGTGTTCTATTTAAGTGTAACGGAGAGTACGTAAATTTATTTAAATGGAACATCCTGTATATTTTATCATATTATGAATACAACTAAATTTGTTTGTACAACCTTATATGTTACTATTTAACAGCTTTCATAGTTCCTGACATATTCAATTGTTCTTCCAAAATGTGCCCATTATAAGATCCTTTTAAAAACGTTGTAAAAACGACATTTTTCCGATTTTGCCTTGAAACTACGTCAGGCAATAATCAAAGCCAGTAGGTAGATGATAGTATTCAAAGATATTAGATACACTATACAGGCTATTTATAAAATTTAGTTACTTTTGATGTTTTTCAAATGGCTGTTTCTTAAGTTTTTTAAGTGGAACATCCTGTATATTGTGTGCTAGTTAAATTGCTTATGAAGTTCCGTTTAATTAATGATAAGTATGTCAGATGTCTAACTTTAATAATTTTCCTGATATTTAGAATTTAAAGAAAAATGTGTATATTCTGTCCTTTTTTTGTCACTTTTTTTTGTTTTTTCATTTTTGTTTGCTTGTCATTTGTAAATCAGTAATATTATATTAAAATACAATTTAAAAAACACTTTAATAAATAAATAATCAAAACGTGATAAAAATACAATTAAATGGCAGAACAAAATCCCTTTTTTACTTAATAAATTATTTGAAGGAAATGCAGCAACAAACTATAATCAATTACTAAACGTTGCTCAACAAGTAGGTATTAATTTAATTAATATTTAGAAGTTGTTCAAAATGCCGCCCATTTTCTCTTCTACAAGCATTAATGAGCTGTATAAAAGGTATCTCTTAAGATGTACATCTTATTTTCTCTGAAGTCGTGAATTGTATAGCAGAACAATTGCATATTTTATTACTTACATCGTTTTAAATCTCATAAAGTACCAAGTCGTATTAAAATCTGGTATATGGCAGTAAAATTATTTTACATTCTAAATATTAATCAAATATTAAAAGGAAGAACAAAAAAAAATGATAAAAATAGACAGAATATAATATAATACGCATATTTTATAACACATTACTCTTTAAATTCTAAATATCAGGAGAACTACTAGAGTTAGATATACAGGGTGCCCATTATGAATGGAATATAGTATATATCTTGGTAAGTATCAACTTTACAAAAAAACATTTTATACAAAAGTTGTTTAATATTTGATTTGCCATAATAAGACACCATTCAATTGTTTTTATTTCAGAAAACAAATGAGCAACGAATAACATTTAATTTTTTTTAAATGGCAATGTACCCTTTCGTTAGGCTCATTTGATAGAGATTTTTTTTCTCTTTACGATGACGTAAAATTTTAGTACCCTTATACTAGAAAATTTTTGAAAAAAATGTAAAAACAGTTTATTAAGTTAATTTTGCCAATAACATGAATCTAGATATCCGAAATCTTATTTGTCCTAACAATTGAATGTAAGCTATTGAATGTGACAGAATCTTGTTTATTTAAATAAGTTGGTAGATCAAAAAAGAAAAATGGTTCATTTAACAGAAACTGAACGCATAGAAATTTTAATTATGGTCGGTTATGGGGATCGCAAACGAACACAATTAGAAGTATGTGAAATTTTCAATGAGCGTTATCCACATCGAGAACCAATCACTCAATCAGTAGTTAGCAAAACTTCGAAACGTTTTAGGGAAACTGGTAACGTTAAAGATCTGCCAAAGACTGGTCCGCAGAGATCTGCAACAGATGAAGATAAAAAGATCGATATTCTCATAGAAATCGAAGAAAATCCAAACATTTCAACTCGTCAGTTATGTTTAAACCATGCTCTAAGTAAAGGTTCAATACACAAAATATTACATGCAGAAAATTTACATCCGTACAAACCGACTTTATTGCAAGAATTATCCGAAGATGACTACGGTCGACGTGTTGAATTTTGTGAATTTATGATGGAGCGAATCAACAGCAATCCAAATTTTCTCAATAATATGGTTTTCTCTGACGAGGCTACGTTTTGTTTAAATGGTAATGTAAATAAGCAAAATTCTCGATATTGGGCCGCTAAAAATCCCCATTGGATGATTCAAAATCATACTCAAACACCACAGAAATTAAACGTATGGGTGGGAATTTGTGCAGATCACATAATTGGACCTTTCTTTATTCGAGGTACTCTAACTGGTCACCGTTATTTACAATTATTGCAACAGCAAATTATCCCAGCTTGCCAAGAAAATCTTGATGATCTTTGGTTTCAACAAGATGGGGCACCGCCCCACTATCATTTAGATGTACGCCGATATTTAGATACGGTATTTCCGGCCCGTTGGATAGGCAGAAGAGGGTCTGTAGAGTGGCCACCCCGATCTCCGGATCTTACACCTTGCGATTTCTTCTTCTGGGGATATTTAAAATCTAAAGTTTATGTAAACCGACCTCAAAATCTGACAGAATTAGAGCAACGAATAAAAGATGAAGCTGCAGCTATTTCTCCCAGATCGCTAAGAAATTCTTTTCAAGCCTTTTATGATAGATTGGGCCACTGCCTTGCAGTTAATGGTGAACATTTTGAACATTTATTGTCGTGAAAACCATTTTAGTGCTAATTTCGTTTTGTCTTCAAAGTTTAATAATTTTCATTTACACTAATTTTTAGTTTATTTGTTTTATTTTGTATGTAGATTTAATTTACGGTAATAATTCGAGGTAGTTGACGATCTCGGATATCTAGATTAATGTTATTGGTTAAATTTTCTTAATAAACAATTTTTACATTTTATGCAAAAATTTTCTGATGTAAGGGTACAAAAATTTTACGTCATCATAAAGAGAAAAGAAATCTCTATCAAATAAGCCTAATAAAAGGGTACATTGCCATTTAAAAAAAATTAAATGTTATTCGTTGCTCATTTGTTTTCTGAAATAAAAACAATTGAATGGTGTCTTATTATGGCAAATAAAATACTAACCAACTTTTGTATAAAATGTTTTTTTATAAAGTTGATACTTGCCAAGATATATACAATATTCCATACATAATGGGCACCCTGTATGACATACTTATCATTAATTAAAGGTAACTTGATGGGCAATTCAACCAGTATACAATATACAGGCTGTTCCATTTAAAAAACATAACAAAAAGCCATTTGAAAAACATCAAAAGTAACTAAACTTTATGAACACGCTGTATAGCGTATCTAATATCTTTGGATACTATCATCTACCTACTGGCTTTGACTATTATCTGACATAGTTTCAAGGCAAAATTGGAAAAAATTTCAATTTTAAATGAACACATTTTGGAAAAACAATTGAATATCTCAGGAACTATGAACGCTATGAGTTAGTAACATATACGTTGGTATAAACAAATTTAATTCTATTCATAATATGATAAAATACATAGGGTGTTCATTTAAAAAAAAAAAGGACATACTCTTCGTTACGCCTAAATGGAACATCCTGTATAAGTCGAAATAATTTTACGTAAAGAAAGTGATAAGTTAAACAAGTTTTGTAGAAAACATTTTTTTCTTTCTCAAACTATCGTACGCAGGGATACTAATAACTCACCCTGTATAAACAATTTAAGATTTCACGTTCAGCTATGCCATTGTTTAGCATTAAGTAATTCAACCAAAGTATTTCATTTGATACTGAGTGTAATAATCATTTGCGCGTGACCAATTCTTGAAAGCAACACATAATTATAAAATCAATATGGAAAATACTAAGAACAATCACCAAGATTAATTTTTTCTTTCCATAAAAAATAATAAAAGCATATCACCTCAATGATTCATTTAAAGTGATTTATTATTTTTCGATAACTTTATCAAATAAATCCAGGGAGTAATAGCATATTAAAAAAATCAAACGGTAATTTTCTAAACAATATTATGCAATTCATTCTGAATTACATAGCTCGTGAACGAAAATGACAGCAGGTGTTTATCGTGATTTTTATCTGAAAAAAAGCGAAATATTCTCGTGAAATACTTGAACAAGATAACTATTTTTTACCTAATTAATAAAATGCTACGATGGTTACTCATCAAAAATCTAGGTTATACTCATTTCAAACAATAATTGTCATGTAATAATCAATAAAAAAAAATCCTAATCGATTCATTGGAAAAATTCTAATTCCAACTCACTAATTCATTCTTTTCGAATTAATTTCTAGGTTACCACTCAAAACGAATTAAAAATAATTAAATTTATTATTAAGAAGAACTCGTAATCTAAGAAAAAAATAAAAATGGAAGAATTTTTGACAGCGGAAGTCGAAGACATCATGTGTGATCAAGTTATAATTTCAACCGAATTAGATGTTTTCGAAACAAACTCAACTAAAATAACGATTAGGTAAGTAATAAACACATCATTTATTTATTAATTTTTTTTTAAGCAAAAAAATATATCGTTTGAGAGTTCGCTAAAAACGAATACCGTTCGCATTACAACCAATTACATCCAATTTATAAAACGTTTATAGGCTAAAGTGACTCGGTTTAACAAGCGCAATCTCCGTTACGATTTCATCTATCCCTCTCTTTGTACTTTATTTTTCTTTTATTCCTTACTCATTCTTTTTTGCGACTTGAGAATCAAGAAACAATAACAATTTGATTCATTGTGTTAGTAATATTTCTTTTTTAACTTCGCTTTTCATTCTTTTAATCTTTAATTCGCGTGGGTTCCTCTTTTCTATTAGTTAAGACCCTGTCATATGTCTTTTTTTAAAACCATTTGCGTCATAAACTCAAATCGCCTCAACATGATTCTCTCAAGACGGTTAAACCTGAATGTTACTAGTTCTAGGTCTAGTGTTAGTTCAATAAAAATATATAACAATCTGGCACTGAATAACAACTAAAATTAGCACTAACACTGGAATTAGAACTAGATACACTCGCGTTTAGTAGCATGTCTCTAAAGACGGTTAAACCTGTATGATTCTAGTTCTAGGTCTTGTGTTAGTTTTAGTGATATTGCTAGTATAAAACTAGAACAAACACCTAGACCTATTGTTAGAACTAGAAAGTCTGAAGTGGCACAGCTAAACCCGATATTTGTTCTAGTGTTAATTTTAATTCAATGAAAAATACGCAACAATCTATCGCTACTAGAACTAGTGATAGTTCTAGGTATAGTATTAGTCCTAGTATTACATTAATACTGTCTCTAGAAATAACACTAAATCGAGAACTAGAAACATTCGGGTTTAGCCGCACGTCTGTCAAGACGGCTAAATCCGTATGATTCTAGTTCTAGTTCTAGGTCTAGTGTTAGTTACAGTTTTGTATTAGCACTATCACTACAACTAACATTAGACCTAGAACTAGAAACATTCGGGTTTAGCCGTACGTCTCTCAAGACGGCTAAACCCGTATGATTCTAGTTCTAGGTCTTGTGCTAGTTCTAGTGTCTCTAGAAATAACACTTAATCTAGAACTAGAATCATTCGGGTTTAGCCGCACGTCTGTCAAGACGGCTAAACCCGTATGATTCTAGGTCTAGCGTTAGTTCTGGTTTTGTATTAGCACTATTACTAGAACTAACACAAGACTTAAAACTAGAATCATACTGGGTTAGCCGTCTTGACAGACGTGCGGTAAACCCGAATGTTTCTAGTTCTAGATTTAGTGTTAGTTCTAGTGATAGTACTAGTGCAAAACTAGAACTAAGACTAGACCTAGAACTAGAAAGTTTCGGGTTTAGCCGTGCGTCTAAAGACGAATATTTCTAGTTCTAGGTCTAGTCTTAGTTCAAGTTTTAGTTCAACGAGAAATATACAACAATCTAACATCACTAGAACTAGTGATAGTTCTAGGTGTAGTGTTGGTTCTTGTATTGTATTAGTACTGTCTCTAGAAATAACACTAGACCTAGAACTAGAAACATTCGAGTTTAGCCATACGTCTCTTAAGACGGCTCAACCCGAATATATCTAGATCTAGGTCTAATGTTAGTACTACTTTCAGTTTAATAAAAATATAGAGTAATCTAGCGCTGAATATCAGTTAAAACTTGAACTAACACTAGACCTAGAACTAGAAGGTCTCATTTTGTCATCATATTCTTTCCTCCATATATTGGAGGATATCAATCCTCTTTTGTTTTTCCTCAATTTGTATCATACTTCTCCAAAATGATGCAAATTACGAGACAAAAAACTTTTTACTTAAAAAAAATCCTCTAAACTAATTTTAAAGCCTGCACCATCAGTTAAGACCCACTCATATGTTTTTTTTTAATCATTTACGTCATAAGCTCAAATCGCCTCAAAATGATTCTCTCAAGACGGTTAAACCTGAATGTTACTAGTTCTAGGTCTAGTGTTAGTTCAATAAAAATATATAACAATCTGGCACTAAATAACAACTAAAATTAGAACTAATACTAGACCTAGAACTAGATACACTCGCTTTTAGTAGCACGTCTCTAAAGACGGTTAAACCTGTATGATTCTAGTTCTAGGTCTTGTGTTAGTTTTAGTGATATTGCTAGTATAAAACTAGAACTAACACTACTTAGATGTATTGTTAGAACTAGAAAGTCTGAAGACGCATGGCTAAACCCAATATTTGTTCTAGTGTTAATTTTAGTTCAATGAAAAATACGCAACAATCTATCGCTACTAGAACTAGTGATAGTTCTAGGTATAGTATTAGTTCTAGTATTGCATTAATACTGTCTCTAGAAATAACACTAAATCTAGAACTAGAAACATTCGGGTTTAGCCGCACGTCTGTCAAGACGGCTAAACCCGTATGATTCTAGTTCTAGTTCTAGGTCTAGTGTTAGTTATAGTTTTGTATTAGCACTATCACTACAACTAACATTAGACCTAGAACTAGAAACATTCGGGTTTAGCCGCACGTCTCTCAAGACGGCTAAACCCGTATGATTCTAGTTCTAGGTCTTGTGTTAGTTCTACTGATAGTGCTAGTTTTAGTTCAATGAAAAACACGCAACAATCTAACGCCACTAGAACTAGTGATAGTTCTAGTATTGCATTAATACTGTCTCTAGAAATAACACTTAATCTAGAACTAGAATCATTCAGGTTTAGCCGCACGTCTGTCAAGACGGCTAAACCCGTATGATTCTAGTTCTAGGTCTAGTGTTAGTTCTAGTTTTGTATTAGCACTATCACTAGAACTAACACTAGACCTAGAACTAGAATCATACGGGTTTAGCCGTCTTGAGAGACGTACGGCTAAACCCGAATGTTTCTAGTTCTGGGTCTAGTGTTAGTTCTAGTGACAGTACTAGAGCAAAGCTAGAACTAACACTAAATCTAGACCTAGAACTAGAAAGTTTCGGGTTTAGCCGTGCGCCTGAAGACGAATATTTCTAGGTCTAGTCTTAGTTCAAGTTTTAGTTCAACGAGAAATATACAACAATCTAACATCACTAGAACTAGTGATAGTTCTAGGTGTAGTGTTGGTTCTAGTATTGTATTAGTACTGTCTCTAGAAATAACACTAGACCACCAGAACTAGAAACATTCGAGTTTAGCCATACGACTCTTAAGACGGCTCAACCCGAATATATCTAGTTCTAGGTCTAATGTTAGTTCTACTTTCAGATTAATAAAAATATAGAGTAATCTAGCACTGAATATCAGTTAAAACTTGAACTAACACTAGACCTAGAACTAGAAGGTCTTATTTTGTCATCATATTCTTTCCTCCATATATTGAAGGATTGATATTTGTATCATACTTCTCCAAAATGATGCAAATTACGAGACAAAAAACTTTTTACTTAAAAATAAAAAAATCCTCTAAACTAATTTTAAAGCTTACACCATCAGTTAAGACCCACTCATATGTCTTTTTTAAAATCATTTACGTCATAAGCTCAAATAGCCTCAAAATAATTCTCTCAAGACGCTTAAACCTGAATATTTGTTGTTCTAGGTCTATCTAGTGTTAGTACAACACTAACAATCTGGCGCTGAATAACAACTAAAATTAGAACTAACACTAGAAACATTCGGGTTTAGCCGCACGTCTCTAAAGACGGCTAAACCCGTATGATTCTAGTTCTAGGTATTGTGTTAGTTTCAGTGATATTGCTAATATAAAACTACAACAAACACTAAACTTAGAACTAGGAAGTCTGAACACACACGGCTAAACCCGATATTTGTTCTAGTGTTAATTTTAGTTCAATGAAAAATACGCAACAATCTAACGCCACTAGAACTAGTGATAGTTCTAGTATTGCATTAATACTGTATTCGGTTGCAAGATGACATTGACAGATTTGATTCTTATTGCTCACAACATTACTTATTTCTAAATCCTAATAAGTGTTGTCAGATCACGTTCAGTAGAAAGAGATATAATGTTAACTTCAAATATAAACTAGGTCCGCATTATCTTACTCAATCCTCTACAGTTAAAGATCTTGGCGTTATCTTGGATTCTAGACTACTCTATCGCGATCATATTACTTCTATCGTTTCTGAAGCTACTAAGCGCCTAGGATTTATCATTAGGATTTCTCGTCCATTTACTAACGTCCGCTGCATTACTTCTTTGTATATGGCATACGTTGCTAGCGGGTTAAATTTCCCCTCGGTAGTGTGGAGTCCTGCCTATAATATTTACATCGACCTTATTGAGGGCCTACAGAGAAGATTTATCCGTTATCTTGCTCACAAATTTTATCTTCCGTCCTGCCCTTATTCCCAATGATGCCGGGTGTTTAGTTTAAGATCACTCTGTGGCCATCGACACAGTACGGACCTACTGTTCCTGTACAAACTAGTTAACGGAGTTCTCGACGCTCCGGTTCTCTTAGAGGAGATTCACTTTAATGTTCCTTCTTATGCTACTCGATCACCATTTTTGTTCAGACTACCTGCTTCTGGATCCAATGCGCATGCCGGTTCACCTCTGTTGAGACTGATGCACAGTTGCAATATATGTTTATTGTTTCAATGTTGATCTCTTTTGTAATTCAATGATGTCGTTTAAAAAATCCGTTTTAACTTTAAGTATTTGTCATTAGTTTTTTTTTGCTTTGTAAAATTAATTTACTCAATCGAAACACATTCGTTTAGCATATTTTAATTGATTTCTTGCGGGTGGTGGGGCAGAAAAGAGAAGCAACAAAAATTGTCATTTCTTATAGTCCTTATTATTCTGTTTTTCTGTTCGCGTAACATAGATGATTATGCGGACCAATCTAGTGTCTGTGTTTATTTTCTTTTCTGCATCGTGCATCATTTTTTATTGTTTCATACTTTCGAAGTTTTTTTTTTGTTTTTTTTTCTTTCTTATGTAGTTGGATTTTTTTCCTTTGTATTATTGTAGTGGACACTTTTTTGGGATTTTTCCTGTACGTGTCCCGAATATGAATAAATAAATAAATAAATAAATACTGTCTCTACAAATAACAGTAAATCTAGAACTAGAAACATTCGGGTTTAGCCGCACGTCTCTAAAGACGGCTAAACCCGTATGATTCTAGTTCTAGGTCTTGTGTTAGTTCTAGTGACAGTACTAGAGCAAAGCTAGAACTAACATTACACCTAGAACTAGAAACATTCGGGTTTAGCCGCACGTCTCTCAAGACGGCTAAACCCGTATGATTCTAGTTCTAGGTCTTGTGTTAGTTCAAGTGATAGTACTAGTGCAAAACTAGAACTAAGACTAGACCTAGAACTAGAAATATTTGGGTTTAGCCGTGAGTCTTCAGACACACGCCTAAACCCGAAACTTTCTAGTTCTAGGTCTAGTCTTAGTTCTAGTTTTGCACCAGTACTACACGTTTTAAACCCAAATATTTCAGTCTTAGTTCTAGTTTTAGTTCAACGAGAAATATACAATGATCTAACGCCACTAGAACTAGTGATAGTTCTAGGTGTAGTGTTAGTTCTAGTATTGCATTAATATTGTCTCTAGAAATAACACCAAATCTAGAACTCGAAACATTCGGGTTTTGCCGCACGTCTGTCAAGACGGCTAACCCCGTATGATTCTAGTTCTAGGCCTAGTGTTAGTTCTAGTTTTGTATTAGCACTATCACTAGAACTAGAAACATTCGGATTTAGCCGCAGGTCTCTCAAGACGGCTAAAGCCGGATGATTCTAGTTTTAGGTCTCGTGTTAGTTCAAGTGATAGTACTAGTGCAAAACTAGATATATTCTGGTTTAGCCGTGCATCTTCAGACGCACGGCTAAACCCGAAACTTTCTAGTTCTAGGTCTACTCTTAGTTCTAGTTTTAGTTCAACGAGAAATATACAATAATCTAACGCCACTAGAACTAGTGATAGTTCTAGGTGTAGTGTTAGTTCTAGTATTGCATTAATATTGTCTCTAGAAATAACACCAAATCTAGAACTCGAATCATTCGGGTTTTGTCGCACGTCTGTCAAGACGGCTAAAGCCGTATGATTCTAGTTTTAGGTCTAGTGTTAGTTCAAGTGATAGTACTAGTGCAAAACTAGATATATTTTGGTTTAGCCGTGTATCTTCAGACGTACGGCTAAACCCGAAACTTTCTAGTTCTAGGTCTAGTCTTAGTTCTAGTTCTAGTTCAACGAGAAATATACAACAATCTAACGCCACTAGAGCTAGTGATTGTTCTAGGTATAGTGGTAGTTTTAGTATTGCATTAATATTGTCTCTAGAAATAACACTAAATCTAGAACTAGAAACATTCGAGTTTAGCCATACGTCTTTTAAGACGGCTAAACCCGAATATATCTACTTCTAGGTCTAATGTTAGTTCTACTTTCAGTTTAATAAAAATATAGAGAAATCTAGCTCTGAATATCAGTTAAAACTTTAACTAACACTAGACCTAGAACTAGAAGGTCTCATTCAGTCATCATATTCTTTCCTCAATATATTGGAGGATTGATATTTGCATCATATTTCCCCAAAATGATGCAAATGAAACAAAAACCTTTTTACTTCAAAATAAGAAATCCTCTAAACTAATTTTAAACCCTGCACTATAAATAATAAATCAAGTTAAATAAGTCACCACTTATTATTGATTTTTTGTTCTCAACGGGTCACCCACATGTAACATTATTCCACGTGTATAACTCATTAAAAAATTCTTAACTTTCCTTTTTATCCATTTTAATTAATAATTATTTTTTTTTATTTTCAGAAAAGTAACTTTAGCAATGACGTTATTAACAAAATCAGTTTTACCAGCTGTTATAGGAGTTTATTACGCTTACCTAAGAAATCAAAAAACAGTCGTTGAAAATCTCAAACGACACGTTTTCCCAACGATAGTCGCCTTTCTTGCAAATAGTATCTCAAGATCTTTATCATCCGTTCATCGAGGCATCACGTATCCATTAAGTTTATCTTCGAAATCGATCGAAACATCACATTCATCCTCAACGTTATTGGAGGATTCCTCAGAATCGATCCCGGAAAAATCCGTCGAATGCTTAGTGTTAACGGAACCGGAAGTACACACCGCGGATGTTATTTTTATCCATGGTCTTCATGGTTCTTTGGTGAATACGTGGAGACAAGGCGATTGGAGACACGAAAGGCACCATTTAAAACAAAAAATCGTCGAAAGACGGATGTCGACCGGCGAAATTAGGGATGATCGGATTCGAAAGATTTCTCTAAAAAGATCTTGTTCGGACGTTTATTCGGTTTGTCCGAAAAAAATGTCTAAATTATCCGAGGGAAGATGTTTCGAAACTTTCGGTGATTCCGATTTTGTCGAGGATAATAAAAAGTTATCGAAATGTTGGCCTAGGGATTGGTTACCAATTGATTGCCCCGGAGTTAGAGCGATCGCTTTGAATTATACGACGGATCCGCATCTTTGGAGACCAATTTGGATTAAAAAAAGAAATAGGTAATAATAATTTCACAAAAAAAAAAAATCAAATAAATAATTTTTTTAATTTAGAACATCCATGACTGAAAGAAGCAAAGAAATGATTGGGCATCTTTTAGATTTAGGAGTTGGTAATAAACCGATTATTTGGGTTGGTCATTCTAAAGGAGGATTATTCATCAAACAAATCTTAATCGATTGTAAGTTATTAATGATAATTAATAATTACTTAAAAAAATAAAAATCCACCGTTTCACATTTTCGAAATACCGAGAATTTCATATAACTCGCAGTAATGAATGCAGTTACGAAACATGCACTTGCACTCTTTCACATAAAATGCAACATAGATTAATTGTACAGGCATTCTGGGGTCTTGTGTTAGCTCTAGTGATAGTGCAAAACTAGAATTAGCACTAGACCTAGAACTAGAAACATTCGGATTTAGCCGCACGTCTCTTAAGACGGCTAAACCCGAATGATTCTAGTTCTAGGACTTGTGTTAATTCTAGTGATAGTGCTAATGTAAAACTAGAACTAACACTAGACCTAGAACTAGTAACATTCGGGTTTATCCGTCTTGAGAGACGCACGGCTAAACCCGAATGTTTCTAGTTCTAGGTCTTGTGTTAATTCTAGTGATAGTGCTAGTGCAAAACTAGAACTGATACTAGAACTAGAACTAAAAACATTCGGATTTGGCCACACGTCTCTCAAGACGGCTAAACCCGAATGATTCTAGTTCTAGGTCTTGTGTTAGTTCTAGTGATAGTGCTAGTGTAAAACTAGAACTAACACTAGAACTATAATTAAAAACATTCGGATTTAGCCGCACGTCTCTCAAGAATGGCTAAACCCGAATGATTCTAGTTCTACGTCTTGTGTTAGTTCTAGTGATAGTGCTAGTGTACCGAGATCCTCTCTACCATCTCGAGCCTCCAAGGGAGTATGCACAAGGGGCCCACTGGGGCCTAAGTGCGCGTAAAAATTACGCACCCCTCTACATACATACATACATAGTGCTAGTGTAAAACTAGAACTAACACTAGACCTAGAACTAGAAATAGGCGGGTTTAGCTGACCGTCCTCAGACGCACAGCCTCAGAAACTTTCTAGTTCTAGGTCTAGTGTTAGTTCAATAACAATATGCAACATAGTGATATCTTATGCTAACTAGCGCTACCTAGCACTGTAATTTATTCTATTTGTGTTTTGTAATGTTGTTATTTAACATTGTTAATTTCACCGTGTGTCCTAAGATGGCTAAAAATGAATGATTCTAGTTGTAGGTTTAGTGTTAGTTCTACTTTTAGTTCAACGAGAAATATACAATAATCTAACGCCACTAGAACTAGTGATAGTTCTAGGTGTAGTGTTAGTTCTAGTATTGCATTAATATTGTCTCTAGAAATAACACTAAATCTAGAACTAGAAACATTCGGGTTTTGCCGCACGTCTGTCAAGACGGCTAACCCCGTATGATTCTAGTTCTAGGTCTAGTGTTAGTTCTAGTCTTGTATTAGCACTATCACTAGAATTAACACTAGACCTAGAAACATTCGGATTTAGCCGTACGTCTCTCAAGACGGCTAAAGCAGTGTGATTCTAGTTTTAGGTCTTGTGTTAGTTCTAGTGATAGTTCTAGTTTTAGTTCAACGAGAAATATACAATAATCCAACGCCACTAGAACTAATGATAGTTCTAGGTGTAGTGTTAGTTCTAGTATTGCATTAATATTGTCTCTAGAAACATTCGGATTTATCCGCACGTCTTTCAAGACGGCTAAATTCGAGTTCTAGATCCTACGTTAGTTCTAGTGATAGTTCTAGTCCAAAACGCGAACTAACACTAGACTTAGAACTAGAAACATTCGGATTTAGCCGCACATCTTTCAAGACGGCTAAACCCAAATGATTGGGGGCCTAATTGTTTTACTACAAAAACCGTATTGCGTAAAGATTGAAATTTTTACTACTTTTTTTCCTATTTAATGAATCAAATATTGTTAACATCTAAATTAATTTTATACATAAGATTTTTTTAACGTTTCTTACAGCTCGGCGGTCCGTTCGTGACGTCACGCAAATACTTAATTTATTCTATTTGTGTTTTGTAGTGTTGTTAGTTAACATTGTTAATTTCGCCGTGCGTCTTAAGATGGCTAAAAATGAATGATTCTAGTTCTAGGTATAGTGTTAGTTCTACTTTTAATTCAATAAAAATATTGTAGTAATATCTACCTACCAGTATTAAGATCTAACTTAAATAATTAGAATACATTAAAAAATAAAGTCCAGAATACGAAGTTAGGGAGACCAGAAGTACAACTGTAGAATCATTAGTATCGGAGACCAAAACGTGGTTCTTCTACCTAAAAGAGATAAATTAAATTAATATCAAATAAAAAACCATGAGTCCAAATTAGTTAAATTAAATGAACAGATCAGTATTGAACGAATTAAAAAGAAATAACTTACGGTTTAACGTTTTAATAGAGATTCCTACGAGTAGCCATGTACTTTGTTCACTGTTTAGATTAAGTTATTGTAATTTTAAGTTCCGTTGTATTGTTAGTAAATTTATTCGTAAACCAGGGTATTTGCCGTTGTTGATTCGTTTAAAGTTGCGTATTTCCTTTGTAATTTAACTTAGCTAGAGAAACCTCAAAAGCGAAAGACATAACCTCAAATGTCAATTTTTCAATGTATTTATTTTTCCAAAAGAAAAACCTTTTAGTAACTAAAAAGAGAAAGATTAGAATACAAATATCATAAATCAAAAGAAAATTCAATGGTGAAAGCTTAGATTGAAGGGGAAATTGGGTAGTTCGGAGTGAATTTGCCAAATGTCCGAAATGAAGGAGAATTAAAGAAACTCCATTTGCTGGGGTAAAATAAAGTGCGCGAATCAAGAAAGTAGAAAGAAATGTGAGTAAAATGGTCATTTTATGGAAATTTTTGTGAAAGTTTGGAAAATTTGGTTAGTTCCGAATTTAATCAAGAGATGGCGCTAAAATCGAAATTTTTGACCAAATTTGGAAAGTTTGATCGGCGAAGGACCAGTTGCCATGGGAATGAGGAAATTTTCAGAGGGGGAACACCGAGTCTATATAAGAGCGAAAAAAAGTCAGTCTACAGAAGAGTCTACGTAAGTCAGTCGAAGTGGTCAGTTCGTGTATCAAAATTTTTGACATTTAACCTAAAACTACGAAGTATTAAAAAAGAAATTAAGAAATTGAAAGAGAAGAAAAGATAATTATCATCAAGAGAAGAAAATTAAAAGAATTTAACTAAGAAGAGAAAAAAAAAAAAAAATAAATAAAACGTCGAGTCAAAATCTACGTACCTGGAAGAAGAAAATTTAATCCCGGAGGAGTTTGAAGAAGAAAAAAAAAATAAAGAAATATTCCCGAGAGGAGAAGATCCATCTTCGACGAGCTGAAGGAAAGGTCCATATTGACGAGGTGAAGAAATAAAAGGAACCATCCAAAAAAGAAAGACCAGCCAGAGAGGAATTGGTTGTTTCGAGTTCAATCCGATAAATCGACATCTGAAAACAGGATTAAAGCTAAGAATTTTCGATTTTTTCTTTCTCATTTGATTATTTAAACAAATCACTTACCTTAAATTTAATGATAATTTCACTCATTTTCCACAATTAACAAATTTTTCTGATTGAATTCTGCGGAAACTATTTTTGTTTGTATTCATTCATCTCATAACAGAAAGCGAGGTTATGAATCCAATTTAGTATTTTGACAGTTCGATAACTATATTTGATCTAATAATAGAAACCTCTAAATTACTGAATCATTTTAATTATTTCTGGATAATATTTTAAATTTCAAACATTCATTTACAAACAAAGATAATTGGAGTTTGTGTGTTTCGCTAAGAGAACCGACTAAAATCCCTGAGCGTAAAATAATTTGAGTCTCGTGCTAGGTTAGAATTTAAAATACATTTTGTTTGTTATTGTTAATTAAATTTTTTTAAATATTTATTTTGTTTTTATAATTATCATAATATATAATCTAGCACTGAATACCAATTAGAACTAGAACTAACACTAAAGCTAGAACTAAGAAAAATCGGGTTTAGCCGTGCTTCTGAAGTCTTCTCCAAGCAGTTATTAGTCTTTTTGAGCAGTATCTAACATATTGAAAGCAGTAGGAAAATTTTGGGAACAGTATCTCCTCTTTTTAAGTAGTTATTAGTCTTTTGCCAGCAGTATCTTGTCTTCTCCAAGGAGTTATTAATTTTTTCCAGTAGTATTTAACATTTTGGAAGCAGTAGATAACTTTTGGAAACAGTATCTCCTATTTTTAAGTAGTTATTAGTCTTTTGCTAGCAGTATCTATTGTTCTTCAAGGAGATATTAGCCTTTTCCAGCAGTATTTAGCAGTTTGGAAGCAGTAGGTAACTTTTGGAAACAATGGGCACGTTCAACCGGTGTCAACTGTTGCTATATTAGCAGTTGCGGCTGAACGATACGCTAAGTAAGCGCTGTTACGCAGCAGCTTAGTAAATATCTCAGCATAAGTAATCTGCGCTTAGTTTGTCAGCGGTTGTGAAATTCTAGGTTAAGATTAACATTTTTTATTTCTCCCCTTTAATTTTGAAAACTGACAAAACTGTATAAAAATGAATATTGTTAATGCAGAAACGCATCATCCACTATCGGTTGTAATAACACAAAATTTTCAAAAATTTTATTGTTGGCCATAGTTTTAGGTTATGCTGAACCGCTAATTCTCAATTGCTTGTTCAGCCGATTTCGTTCCGCTGTATTAAAGCTCATACAACTAGCTGACTGATTTAATTCAACTGTTGACACCTGCTGAACGTACCCAATATCTCCTCTTTCTAAGTGGTTATTAGTCTTTTGCCAGCAGTATCTAGTCTTCTCGCAGCAGTTATTAGTCCTTTCCAGCAGTATCTGGCGTTTTGAAAGCAGTAGGTATCCTCTTTCCGAATTGGTTTTGAAGACGCACGCAAAAAAATAGCAACATTCAAGTTTAGCCGTCTTAAAAGACACACGGCTAAACGGAAATTTCTACTTATTTAGTTCTAGTGCTAGTGTATAGTTCACTTTTTTTTCTATAATACCTGCCAAATTGTTGCAAAGATGGCAAAATTAACAGTGCGTTTTGTTTTATCATGACTGACGTTTGAGCTCACTCGTTTGACTGTTCGAAAAGAAAAGGTGCATAAAAAATGTTGTGGGTTGTTTATTTGCCATTTATTTACCTAGAAAAGGTGCTTTGTTTTATTTAATTACTTTGTAGCACGTTTTTACAACAAATATGCGCTTCGTTAAAATCGTATTTATCTAAAAATTTATTACTATTTAGTTACTGAAAATGTTACTAAAAATCAGGAAAACAACATAAATTATAGAAAAAAAATGAACTATAATTTTATTTGTTATTCTAGATTGTTGCATATTTTTAGCTATAACTAATATATTGACATGTTGCATTTTATGTGGGACAAAGTAAGTACGTTTCTATAGAAATATATTTTTGAATATTGCATTTTAAATTAAATTCACTGTATAATCACACTTCATTAAATAAAAACTCCATTCAAGGTTAGTCGGTTTTGTTTATCGACGGAATTGTTTTAATTCTTCATAAGATTATAAATATTTATGATTATGATACGCTCTCTACTTCGCTTATAAAAGGAATATTAAAACTGATTGAAAGAATTTAATAAAGTTATATATTTATTTTCAGCATGGGAAAACATAGAATTGAGTAAAATCTACCAACAAACCAAATCAATACTATTCTACAGCGTTCCTCATAAAGGATCATATCTTGCCGATTGTACGTTACCTTTATTAAAAAGAAGCGTGGAATTAACGGAGATTCAAAGAAGTACATCTAATTATTTATTAATTCTACTCATTATTTATTACTTATTTTTTTAGATTGCCCGTTTGTTTTAAATTTGCACACAAGGTTCCTAGAATTTTTACAAGAAACAAATTTAAACCCAGAAATATTTAGTTTTATTGAAACTTCGTTCACATTCATGTCGTTCCTTTATTTAAAAATCGTTGCCTTTGAGTCTTGCGATCCGGGAATAGGATTAATCTGCGGCGTCCCTTTGGATCATCGCGAAATTTGCAAGCCAGCCGCAAGGGACTGTTTTCTTTACCAAGAATTGGTGCGTTTAATAAAAAGTTCTGAACTTTTGATAAGAAGCTAGAACTACATTTCATTTTATTTGAGTTAGTAAAAACAGTATTTTTAAATCTCTTTTTCTCGCTGCCATATTTCATATATTCATACGTTGTACAACCAAAGATTTATCAATAAATATTAATCGGTTTACGTTTTTATTTAGTAACATATTTGAGGCAGTTATAAAAGTAATTAATTGTGATTTAGCGATTAGAGACTCATTTTTTGTTGTTTTTTTTTTAGTAGTTGTGTTTTTTTTGTATATTAGATTAATAATTAAACTAATTGTTATAATTAGATGAATTTTTAAGACAGGATTACGCCTATTTGCTTGTGATATGAAAAGATTTATGCGTTACCTATCTTGTTAGAAACTGATTTGATTTAAACAAATTAATTATTTTTTTTTTGGACCAAATGTACCTTTTTAGACCAATTAATAAAGAATTTCATTAAAATTTCTATTATTTTTTAAATTATAAATGTAACCGTAATTAATGAATTCGGGTTTAGCCATACCTACTTCTTTGAAGCCGGCTAAACCCATATGACTCTAGTTCTAGGTCTTGTGTTAGTTCTAGTGACAGTACTAGTGTAAAACTAGAACGAACACTAGACCTAGAAACATTCGGGTTTAGCCGCACGTCTCTCATAACTGCTAAACCCGAATGATTCTAGTTACTGACAGTACCAGTGCAAAACTAGGACTAACACTAGACCTAGAACTAGAAACATTTGGGTGTAGCCGTGCGTCTCTTAAGACGGCTAAACTCGAATGATTCTAATTCTAGGTTTAGCACTGCATAACAATTAAAACTAGAACTAACACTAGACCTAGAACTAGAAACATTCGGGTTTAGCCGTCTTTAGAGACGTGCGGCTAAACCCGAATGATTCTAGTTCTAAGTCTAATGTTAGTTCTATTTCAGTAAAAATAGACAATAATTTAACGCTTAGTAACAATTAAAACTAGACTTTAAGTCTAGTGTTAGTTCTAGTTTTAGTGCAATAAAAATATACAACGTAGTGATATCTAGCAACATCATGTTTGGACTCATTTTAATTGGTTTTTTTTAATAAAGAATACATCATAAAAGAACACCATGAAGTTGTCCATTTGTCTATTATAGTAGTCTTCATTAAAAATCCTTTAAAATGGGTACAAACACGACATATTTATCTTCAATATTAATGAAGTTATGGTCAACTTTCGGTTGCAAATGTCAACGTCAATTTTGACATATTTGTAATCGTCGTGAAAAATCCTTTAAAATAAGCCCAAACATGATACGTTTAATTCCAATATTAGTCGAGATATAAGCAACTTCCGGTTTGAAATGTCAATGTCATTTCGACAAACTCTTAATTTTTATAAAATGTTTTAAAATTTATCACAAAAACAAAAATATAATAAAAAAAATTAAAAATTAAGGTTGGTATTAATATTTAATAATTAAATTGCTATCTTTATTGTTGCTAACTTCGGGTTTAACGCTTTTTTATTCAAACTTTTTTGTTTTTTGAGATAAGTGCGTCATGTTTGGACTCATTTTAAAGGTATTTTTAATAAGAATACATAATGAAAGAACACCATGAAGTTGTCCATTTGTCTATTATATGATAACTGACTTCAGGTTTAAAATGTCAACCTCAATTTTG